ACCGTCAATCATTGGACCATTGCTTGGTTGAGATCTGGCGTACAAGCTATTGTAACCCCAATAATGGCCAAAGATTGGTCCAAGTCATGGAAATCCATGCATTGAACGCCAATCTTTAACCATAGTATGGACCAACATTGGCAAGCCAATCATTGGTATACCATCTCTAGGCCAATAATAGACCAAGAGTAAAAGTGCCGACAATTGGCACTTCAATGTTTGGCCGATAATTGGCCAATTGTATATACAACAAGCATTGGCGCTTCAATGGTTGGCCAATACCTGGCCAATCGTATATACACCAAGCATTGGCGCTTCAATGTTTGGCCGATACTTCCCCAATTATATATGCACCAAGCATTGGTACATCAACGTTTGGCCCATACCTGGCCAATTGTATATACACCAAGCATTGGCGCTTCAATGGTTGGCCAATAAGTGGCCAATCGTATATACACCAAGCATTGGTGCTTCAATGCTTGGCCGATCGTTCCCCAACTATATATGCACCAAGCATTGGTACATCAACGTTTGGCCAATACCTGGCAAATTGTATAGACACCAAGCATTGGCATATCTAAGCTAAGCCCGCACTTAGCCAAGGGAAGGATCGCCAAGTATTGGCGCTTCAACATTGGGCCGATATGTGGTTTATGATAAGCATTTCAATCTTTGGCGCCCCAACGCTAGTGCAAAAATTGGCCAAGAGAGGTATACCGGACATTGGTGAAGTACCGCGAAAATCCAGCACCAATACTTGGATAATACGAGGCCAGGAGTAAAGTTGACAGTCACCGGTGATCATTAATCGTAGTTCAACATTGAATGAAAAAAAATAGAGTTTTGAGTTGAAAATTTCACTGCCACACACTGGCCATAACCGCGTGGAATTCATCCTTATATTCATGTGTATGATCCCATCATAAATTAAAAAATGTCGTCCAGATATTATCGTCTAAAAAAACACCGAATACTAAAAAAAATAAAGGAGGAATCTCAGAAAGGTGCCAGTAACTCTAATTCAGGATGTAGTTATGATAATTCAGAAAATATTGATCGGGATAGTGTAATAGAAGTGAATTGTGACAATTTAGAGATTAACTCAGTGCCAAATCAAGATGTTCACTTAAGTTCTAACGATACTGAAATGCTCCTGGAGCAACTGGTGGACCCTTGTAATCTCCAACCCACCGATTTACTGGAAGGACAGTCTCAAAACAATTCTGGAGATGTGCATGCTGTTATGACTAAGGCGAACTCTTCAGTAGACTTGAGAGAAGAAATTCGTTTATGGACTTTACGAAATTTGGATAATTTGACACTTACTGTGGTGTCTGATTTGCTGGTATCACTACGAAGAGCAGGTCATACTGAATTACCCAAAACAGCTCAAAGTCTCATTGGCATAAAGCACAATAGACCTCTGAATGCCATGACGAGTGCTTCTGCAATAGGAGGCGAGTACCTCCAAGGAGAGTATTCATGGTTAGGTATTAAGACAGGTTTGACAAAAGTTATTCGACCAGATATCTATACTGAAGACACTATTTCAGTTTTTGCACACATAGATGGTATGCAAGTCTATAAGAATTCCACGAAGACCGTATGGCCAATTGCTATTAAAGTGCATCACTTGAATTATAAATCAAAACCATTTGTCGCGGGACTTTACTGTGGCGATGCTAAACCATTATTAGCAGCTGATTTTATGAAGGATTTCGTGGAGGAGATCAATGAGCTCACCGAAAATGGAATAATTCTGCATAATATTGAGTATAAATTTAAACTGTTGGGAATAATTGCTGATTCGCCAGCCCGGGCGTTCATCAAAGTGATTAAACCACCTGGTGCATTTTTTGCATGTGAACGATGCGAGACACGAGGAAAAAGCATAAAGACAAGCAAGGGATCGAAACGGATCTACCCAGATATGATTGCCACCAAACGCACAAGAGAGACATTCATCGCTCAAACTCAATCGTCACATCATCAAGGTTTCTCACCGATTATCAAAATTGCACAATTTGATCCTGTGAAGAATGTGATTTTAGATATTATGCATTTGTGGTATTTAGGCGCACAAAAATGGTTGCTAAATAAGTGGTTGTCCCCCAAAAATTGTGTAAAAATCACACGTGTTCACAAAGAGCAACTGAGATTGCGTTTAAATGCTTTGTCTCCTTGTATTCCTCAAGATTTTCAAAGAAAAAAATTTGATTTGCGATTACATTCTAATTGGAAAGCGACGCAATTAAGATTTATTCTGCATTACGCTGGCCCTCTGATTTTTAAAAATATTCTACCGCAAGATTATTATAATCATTATCTCCTATTAGTTGTTGCGTGTCGAATTTTTACCGATGCCGAGTTAATGAAAAAATTCAGAGAGTATGCTGGGTACTTGTTACGACAATTTTTTTCTATGTTGCCTGAATTGTACGGACCAGGTGCTCAGGTGTTGAGTCTGCACAATTTGATTCATGTTGATGATGACGTTAAAACCTTTGAGTTACCTTTGACAGACATTTCTGCCTTCTGGGGCGAAAACTACATTGGGACATTTCGAAAACTGATTAAATCGCAGCATAAACCTCTGACTCAAATTATTAATCGAGTTTCGGTACGTGAGTCAGCGGACTATTTACAAATTCAACGTAAACGTTTTATTTCATATTGTATGCTGGATGACACAGCTCAAATTATTGAATATAATGATAACAGTTATGAACGTCTGAGCCAAATAAAAATTGAAGATTCAACTTTAACGCCAATTTCACCTGACAATGTTGTTATGCTGAAAAATGGTGAAATTGTGCGTATAAATCACATTGTCTCCGATTTCTCTCATACTACGTGTCTCAAAAGTGAAAATATTTTTGTAATTGGACAGAGAGAAACATCGCGTTTTGATTTATTCACGAATCCAACCTCGTCCATTGACGTTGGTATTATTGGTATCACCGATTTTGCAAAGAAATGTGCAATCATTTCAGTGTCAGAAATAAAATATAAATGTGTACTGTTAAATGTTAATAAACAAAAAATAGTAATTTCGCTATTGCACGGCCCTTAAAGTTATGTCATAATTAGCATTAAAGAAATATCTGTTCATAAAAAGAATATTTTAATTGATTTTTTAATTCATTGTTATTATTATATATTTCCCTATTCAATTTTCATAGTTTCTCATGATCTGATTTTCATAATTATAGTCGCATGTTTTCACAACGTTACACAGCAGTATTTTCGGAATACTCCACCAGCGGCGCTTATACGCATTTAGTAAACGCTGAGAAAACGTTGAGCGTCGTCCGAAGAACCGGTAAAATTTATCGAATTTGTCGTTTTTTACGGTATATGTGCGTGGTTTTCCGATTGTTTTGCCTTAATTGGGTTCGCATAAATCCAAAAATGGTGGATTCATCATATGCTATTGTGATTTTCGAGGAGGTGAATAAAAAAGGTGAAAAATTGATGGATATTGTTCCAATGTCCTGGGTGACTGAAGGAGACAATGCTGAATATGTTTGTAAATATTTCCCTAATGATTCCTTCGACAAAAGAGATTTTTTTTTGAAAAATAAGACACCTGCCCACCCAAACTGGCTTGAGTACCCTGTTAAATTGCTCTCCACTGCAGGTAAGAGCGAGAAAAAAGAAAGAAATTTCATTTCAACGCTGACTGTGTGTTAATTTTTAAGAGTCTTTGGAGAAAGCAAAGAGACGTTTGAAAAAGGCAAAGGTCACAGCAGACGTTGACACCACAGATGCTGAAGACATTGCTCAAAATACAAAGAAAATGTCGAAAAAAACTGATTTGCCAGCCAGTAAGCAACTGAAGCAGATTGCATCAATGAGCCAATTCACTGCGGCCAAAATCGCTGCTTCGCATGAAATCAGCGACAGTAAATATAACGGTTCTGAGAGTTCCAAATCGCAGAAAAAAACAGGTATTTGAAGCCAATTTTAATCTTAATATGATTTATTGTAATTCTTTCCTGGTCTGATTCCGTAATCGACATAAAATTGGTGTTAGATTATTCGTAAAAATTAATCCAATTGCTGTGATTAGTTCCAGCATTTATAACCTATAACGGATCAAAATTCTCGTGATTCAATATGGTGATATATTCTACCTCACCTCACATAGAATAAATATTGCTTTTGTCGATTCTTCAAAGCTTGGCCTGAAAACAACTTTTCATTTTTCCAGAAGGGATCGGAGATGTGACGTTATGACTAATATGCTCTATAATAGGTTATAACTAATATGCTCGATCGAACACACTTTTGTTCTGATCAATATTTCAGAATCATTGTATGTAGATTTCTCCAATGAGAAAAAAACAAAAAATTTTCATAAGGAATTCGAGATGATCTCAATTGTTGAAACTTGTATTTCGCAGTACAAACACTATTAGAATTCTTGTTGTATATTGTGTTTTCCCTTCTGCAGGTGGTTTAAAAAAAAAATTACCACAGATTGTGTCGGATTCGGATAATTCAAGTGACGATGGAATCAGCAATATCCAAGGTTAACACAATGATTATTTTCTAATTTTTCTCCTTTTTTTTACCATCACAATCTATTGGTATTTTATCAACACACTTGCTGATAATTACTTGGCGTATTCACCCCAGCACCAAAAAACCCTGCAAGCTGGCAGACTCAGGTAGCTGGTGTGAACATACCAGTTTTGCTAAGAAATCCTGAAATTTTCCTAAATTTTTAAAAAAGTTTGAACGTGTTCTTTTCAATTAAAATATTATTGCAACGCTCATTAAATTTTTTTGCGTTAGCTGGTCTCAAGAGGAACTCATTGGTAGCAAAAGCGGCAAGGAATTCAGAATCTTCTAGTGATGATGAAGAAATTCTGCAGAATAATCGAGGTGTCTATTAATTATTCACATTATTTAATTCCATCTCTCTTCTATAGAATTCAACGCAACAATTTTTTTTTATTTTCTTAACGGAAAAATCGTAAAATTAATTTAATTTTTTTGTAAGTCGGTCGTGTCAATGTTTGAAATTTTCTTTTGGTTGTTTTTTTATTAAAGAAAACGTTTACAATTGATGATAGAGCACTTAATCGAAAAAAAAGAAATTGTGGAAAATTTTTTTACAGGTCACGTTGATCATTTATTCGAAGAAAGGAGTAATGATGCATCACAGTTGGAAAATTTGACAAATTCAATTGTCCAAAAACATTCGTCAACGTCTGTCATTCAGGATAAGCATTCTCGTGGTACACATTAATATAAATATAATTTTTATGTCGAAATTTCTGTGAAAACTGATTTCTGTGTGGGATTGTTGACTCATAAGAATTTTTTATTGTTTAGATTTTCTGCAGCAAATACGAGAAATTATTCACTCAGAAGTGGAGAGTGCTAAATTAAGTATACTTCATGATCTAGCAGCAAAAGTTGGTCAGATGCAGAACACAATTCTTCAAACTAACATTCCAATTGCTCCACGTGGATCACCTAATGAGTTGATCAAAAAATTGGATACGAAATTTGCTATCCAATCTCTCAATGCTTTCTTGGATTTTGAAAAAAAACTTGAAGATGAAAGCCAAGCAGACGCCCTGGTTAGTATGAAAACTCGTTTTCTTCTCAATTCAACAAACTATTTTTAGTTTCCTACTTTCAGTGTTCTTTGTATCGAGTGCTCTTATTCAGAATGGATAAACCTTCAAATTGTATAAAAACATTGATGGGCCATACTCTATCAAAAGAGTTATCACTGCAATACTCTGGTTCAGGTAGAGATATGAATGGCAAGCATAAGTTAAGCTGGAAAGAAACAAAAACAAGCCAAATCATGAAACAAGCCATAATCACTCAATTTACGGATCAAACGGAAAAGGATATTCAGAAGCTGATGGCTACCTGGCTGTCAGGGGCAGGAGACAGAGCCGGTGGTCGTCGTGAACGAGATGAGAAACGAAAAGATAGAAACGGAAAGGAAAATTAAAGATAAATATTTTTTCACTCCTTGTGTTACCTATTTCAAATGTTTATTATTTTATAAGGTGAACTGTCGAGATAAAGACTGTTTAAGGTTACTCATTTAATAGTTTTTTGAGATATTTTGAAATTAGTTTTCGAAATTTTGATAAAAGTTGTATGGCAAAGATATAAGAATTATCAATATTCTTAAAGAATACACTAAAAAAAACATTTCTATGCTATATTTTTCCGAATGTATGTTTAACAAAACAGTTTAACCATTAATAATAATTGAAAGAGACGTTCTATCATGAAAAAGTGTTTTCTTATACCAGAATGACAAATCTTTGAAAAATTATCTTTAGCATGGCAGTATTTGGTAATTGGCTCACTGCTAATTGCCACTAATAGGAACATATCAAATTATATATATAATATGTATAATACTAAATTGAACCAATTGTAGCCCAATACTGGGACTTTACTCGGGCGCGTGACATGGCCCATACAATTGGTCCATTGTTGTTTGCCACTTAAGGGCCAGTGTTATCATCCAGATATTGGGCCAGTAACAAACCAATTGATTGGGCTATAATTGGCCAATATTGGGACTTGACACTCCAATCTTGGTCCAATTATGGGCCAAGACTGCAACCTTAATTGGGCCTGACATAATACCAATGCTTGGTCTATTATCGATTCCCATTATTGGGCCGGCGTTATCATCCAAATATGGGACCAATGATCAACCGTTCATTTAGCCAATATCCGGCCAGTATTGGTGATTGGCATACCAGGGTTGGACCAAGGCTCGACCAATACTAAAACCCTACTTGGGACCCTCTTGATCAATTATCTACTAAACAATGGGCTTTCGGAGATTTTACCATTGATTATTACAAAAAACATCTTATGGAAAGATGCCGTACGGCCCATCGTTTTTTTTATAACATTTAAAAAGGATGAAACTGTTCGTTGCTGATATAAAATAAACAATTGGGTTTAGATGAGTTTCCCATGAGATTATTTTGTTGCAAATTCAATTT